GGTTCTTGTCGCCATCGTCGGTTCCAACTTCCAAGCGGCAGTCAGCAATCGGCGGTCGGCAGAGGTTTGTAGTCGGCCTTTTGCGAGCGTATGGTCACTGGTCAGTCTCAACTTCCAATTTTAGGTCTGGACTCTGGAGATCTGGTGCAGAAGTGGGATGTGTGGAACTAGTTTAAGAGAAAATCAAAAAAAAAAAAGGAAAAAACAATGTCATTTTAGATATCACTCTTCTTAAAAACAATATGTAAAGTCTGCTCCATACAGCTGGATTCGAACACAAGATCGCCCACCCAAACGCGGAAACACAAAGCTCTCCACAATTCCACACCTTCAGCGCTGACAAGTAGGAACATTTAGCGTTTTGTAGTATATATACTAAATCTAGGTATATATATATGTGTGTGTGTATGTGTATATATATATATGTATATGTATATGTGTGTATATATATATATATATATATATATATATATATACATACATACATACATACATACATACATACATACATACATATATATATATATATAGTAAAAAAAATTAAATTTTCGTGGGGTCGCTTGACCCCGTATGACCCTATGTGGGTCCGCCCCTGGGTTGGGAGCTGGGTTCGCAGGGTGAGAGGTTTGTCAGGGTGTAAAAACTGTCAATTTTATGAACCAGGCACCATAGCGGCCCCAAATCATCCCATGATATTGTATGGTCTGACAATGTCACATGAACCGCCCTGTTATTGGTGATGGTCTCTAAACAAATTATAGTTATAAATTGGGTTATATTGGTGATGGTCTCTAAACAAATTATAGTTATAAATTGGGTTATATTTTTCATAATCAACCCATTCCCATTATCCCTAGTGCCACAACTCAATGGCTGCAAAACTTAAACCATACTTGTCCAACCTCCATAAACATATACTATTCTGAAATAGTGATACAGCACAAGGGAGAGCCACACTCTAAAAGCTAGCTGATAAGGTGGGAGAACCCTTGACTATATAAACCCATCACCAAGTCCCCCATATAACCGGCCCGTGTGAGACAATCAAATCAGTCCATATCATTCGACCCCCCATAAGGCCCAACGTCCTCGTTGGTCACGACTACGTTGGTCACGGCCACGTTGGTCACGGCTGGTTTCACCAGGCCACCACTCCGTGGGCCACCACTACGTAGGCCACCACTTCGAGTTGGCTCTGATACCATTAATACAGCACAAGGGAGAGCCACACCCTAAAAGCTAGCTGATAAGGTGGGAGAACCCTCGGCTATATAAACTCATCACCAAGTCCCTCATATAACCGGTGTGGGACAATGAAATGAGTCCATATCAAATAGGTAAGGATTTTAAGAGCCTCGAATCCACGAATTCACTAAGTTATGAATTGAATGAGATTTGAATTTGAATTTTGGAAACAAACCTGATTATTGAATTGACACAAAATAAATTGAATTTGACGATGTAGATCTCAATATTGACTTGAAAAATCCGCAAATAATCAGTGGATGTTGACTTTCCTTCATTAGGTGCAAATTTCCTTCAGTGAAGATGTACAGTACGGTGCTTTTTTGGAGAAGGAGAAGTGTTGGACGATGGAAGAGGTCAGTGCTTCGCGCATAGGAGGCTAAGAATCGGCTACTGGAGCGAGGAATCAGGGTTGAATCATATTCGTTTCCTTTCAGCGTGAAGATTTGCAGCAGATTTCTTTCCTTCCGCGCGAAGAACTTGGCGAGAGAAAGAGCGAGGTCTGGAAGAGAACTTCGCCTATATTTGGATGCGTGTCATCCGACTTGTCATCAAATTAGGAGTCTAAATTTGCCACGTGTCAAAATTTTAGGCTATCAACTCTCAAATATTATATTAAAGAATTTATTTCCTTCATAGTTTTTCTCTCCTTTCTCCTCTCTCCTCTATTTTACATTTTTTGTACTACTTTTGACTCAATTTATTCTTTTTACAATAAGACATAACTTTTGTACACTTTTACAATCATAAATAAAAACTTATAAAAATCATTGAAAAATTGAATTGTTTAATTCAAAATTGGAAAATAACACATTAAATATATAGAAGATAAGTGCGTACAAAACGGATTTATAAATAGCCATTAAATTCAAATAGTGTGGCAGAGTTGTTCTTGCCACACTATTTGTAACCTATTTTCTGTAGCAGTCATAGGGATAATAATGTGGTTAGGCGTCGCCACTAAACAACCCAATCTTAGTCGGTCCACACTGTTGGACTCCAAACCAACAGTTGGGAACCCTCCGTTGTAAATCGCATATAAAACCCGTTCCAAAGGGGGGGGGAGTGACGTTCTGGCTCGCACACTCGACTTAGTTCAGTACTCTTCCGCCTAGTCTCCTAGGCTTTCGGGTTCCTTAACCCAACAGTGTCATTTAAAACTAGTAATTCAGGTGCCAGTTTCACACTTTTTACTGTATCATTTTGACATGAAAAGTTTGTCATAGATTCTCAAAATACCATTTACATTTCCGTTCTAGAAAGGTATGTGTAATTCAATTTTTTTTAGTGAATTGTAAAAAGAAATAGGAAAGATGAATGAAAACATAATTGCCGTGTGGTTTCACGAAAAAATTATTAGTACATTATCTAAAAAATTATTAGTACATTATCTAAAAAATTATTAGTACATTATGATGGATGTTAGGGGTACATATAGAGAGCGATTGTCTTCAAATCAACTATAGTCTCGCATCTACCGAACACGTTCAACAAAGAATGTACTCCCTGATGTGACCAAGATTTACTCATTTGTATGTTTAATTATGATATACACAAAATGAGTTATCTAACAGAATGAATTTTTTCAGGTATCTCACACACTTTTTAAGTGCATACTTTTAATGAACGTATTGTGCATACTTTTAATGAACGTATTGTTTGCATGCACTTTTTAAGATTTAAGTGTTATTGGCAACCCAATTCTTATGGAACATTATTTACATATTAACAAATTAAAAATAAAACTTTTTGTAATGTCCCAAAATCTATTCTAAAAGTTATATTGAATTATTATTCAAATAAACAAATTGTTTGATTAAAATAAATTATTGTTAAGCTTTGAGCCAAAATAAAATATGATCTGATATCCAATATGATGGGTGTATTTCACCTATGACCGGTCAAGGGCTCGAGTCAGAATGTTGACCGGTCAAAACCGAATTTGAGAGGAAATGATGAATCGTCGAAATATTGACCAAGAACTTTGACCGGTACACTTCGGATAGTGTACCGGTCAAACTCGCCCATGGTCTAAATTCGTCATTCGAAGTTGGCCAAACCTTCAGGAATCAACCGGTGCAACTTTCAGAGATTGGGGAGTGTCGGCAGATGGAATCCAAGAGGACTTGGACTGTAGTGGTTGGAATTGCAGAGATGCCGAAGGAACATTTCCAAGACAGAACACGACAAAGGCGCAGCCTCCTACGCAAGATGACAAGGCAGAGCCAGTCAGGTCACCCCACGCCAGCAGCATGCCCCCACGTGGGCGCACGTGGTCCTGCCCCCCACCCCCCCCCCCCCTAACTTAGTATATATACCACTTGTAACCCTCGAAGAAGGGGGGCCGAATTCATTCTCTCCAAACTCCCTTGTAAAAGTGACCGTGCATTCTCTGTTTTAATACAATTCGGGCTACAGGTGTTCCACCTAAAGTCCTACCGGTCATTCTGAGTGTTTTTACTTTCTTTACTTTTACGAAATCAAGCCAACTATTCTAGACCCAGTCTAGTATAGTTTGACCGGTCAAGTAATTTACACCATCATTTTTGGCGCCACCCGTGGGACCGTTAAGGTTTCCTCTCTTCTAAACACAAACCTACCCACAAAAACACCACTAAAAATGTCTTCAAGCCAGCAGATCAACGCCACCTCCACTCAGGTGCAAGCTACCACTGAAGGTACCAGCATCCCCATGGTTGCTACCTTGCCAGCCGTTTCTACTCCGGTTTTGCCATTGGGACTAAGCTCAGTCCCAACACCCAGCATGGTCAGCCCCTTCACGGCCCCCGTCCCTTCAGCTGGGCCAAGGGTCACCTTTCCACCAAGCATGACCCAGTTCATGAATGACCCAGCCAACTTACAAGCCATCCAGGGCTTTGGCCAGGTCATGGCCATGTGCCAACAGAATGGGGGGATGCCTTTCCTCCCAGGCATGTTTCCATTCGCCCTTCCAGGCGCTGGACGATGCCCCTTCAAGCTCCGATGGCAGTGACGCCATTCCAGACGCCGGTGCCACAACCATCACCTTTCCAGCCGCAGCTGGTCAGCACCATGGCACCTGTTAACTTGACTGGTGCACTCAACGCCACAGGGCCGTCGCGTCCCCCGCAAGGTACAAATCCGCTAATCACTCCCGATGGTCACTGCGTCTCAGTTGAAAGCGGAGATGACGAGTGGGACCTTCCAAAGGCCCACAAGAAAAAGAAGGGAAAAACTATCCGCCCAGCAACTTCCCGAAACTCCGCCTTCGAAAGGCTGGGGGAAAGGGAAGAGAGCCAGAGAAAATCAGCCAAGCTAAGGCTGGGGCAAAGCGTTGCCCATGTCAGCGCATTCGCCCGGTTAGGCGAGATGAGGGAGGCCGAGCCTGCCCGCACCCAACGCACCCAGTCAAACCGGCAGGAGCCAGCCAGGACGAGGGCCTCTCGCCAGGAGGAAGAGGCGGAAAGCCAACCCAGGGTACCGGTGGCTAACCGGTTAACCACCCCCAATGATCGCGTCCAACAGATGGAGGCAAAGCTGGAGAGGCTGGAGAAGAAGGTCGGGGAGAAGAATGACCGGGACAAACCCCTCGCAGGGTCCCCGTTCACCACAAGGGTCCATCTGACACCTTTCCCGCGAAAGGTTAAGATAGACGCCCCAAGGTTCACCGGTAAGGAGGACCCAGAAATCCACCTGGACTCCTTCAATCAGAGTGCAACCATGAACGGTTGCACAGATGAAGAAAAGTGCCTCCTTTTCTTCTAGACCTTGCGGAATCGAGCCACCGAGTGGTTCAACAAGCTTCGCCCGGGAAGCATTGACTAATTCAGCGACTTGGCCTCGAAGTTCAAGACCAAGTTCCAGGAGAACTGTACCAAGAGGAAGAAATTCATCTATCTTAGTACAGCCGGGCAGAGGGAATCTGAGAACCTCACCCAATTCCTTACCCGGTGGAAGGAGGAGGTAGACAAGGTTGAGGAGATGGATGACAAGACAGTGTTGTCCCTCCTCCTAAATGGTTTGCGAGCTGGGGAACTTTACAAGGAGTTCTGCCGGAAACCCCCGGCCACATATCAGGAAGCATACCATACTGCATGGGAGTTCGCCGAGGCGGAAACTCAACTCCGGGCGAAGAAAGAAGCCGAGCATGGTTACAAGCCCAAACCGGTGCAAGTCAAGAAGGAGGAAGTGCCGGTACCCAGCCGGCCAAGGCACCACTATGACCCGGTAGTCCGAGTGGTCAATTCAAAAGAATGCCAGGAGATCAGGAAAGCACTGGTCAATCCTCCGGACAATCCTACCGGTCAAGCTGGGCGTCAGTGGTCGGGCACCTATTGTTCATACCATAGGTCAGATTCCCATAGCACTTCCGAATGCAAGAGTGTTAAGGGGGTAATCCGGCAGATGATAGACAGCGGAGAACTGGGCAAGGATTATCTGCAGAAAGCCCAGGAGAAGAACCATCAATGGGTAAGGCCAGCGACCCAGGGAAATGACCGGGACAATGACCGGCGGAGGAACAACCGGCAAAGGGAGCAACAACCTGCCCCTGAAAAAGAACATATTGGGATGATCTTTGGCGGACCCGAAGGAGGAGATTCGGCCGCGCAGCGAAAAAACTGGGTTCGCAGCATTTACGTTGGTGAGGTGAATGCCGAACCGGCCAGGCGTAAGTATCCCAGGAGGGAGCCAATAGTCTTCACTGAACGCGACCTCCCTCCTGCCGGTGAAGATCACAATGATCCATTGGTCATCACCATGGACATCAACGGGGTGGACGTCGCCCGGGTACTTGTTGACACCGGCAGCAGTGTCAACATCCTCTACCTGGAGACCTTCCAAAAACTCAGGTTGTGTCGGACACAACTTGAACCCCTCAAAACTCCTCTCTCAGGCTTCACGGGAGACACGGTGGAAGCTGAAGGGTCCATAGTTCTACCGGTCGAACTAGGATCGGGCGAGAAGACCGTGTGGAAGAAGATGCAGTTCATCGTTGTGGACATCAAATGCGTCCACAACGCCATCCTTGGAAGGCCTGGCATCAACAAGGTCGGGGCGGTGATTTCCATGCCTCACCTGTGCATGAGGTTCCACACTCCAGGCGGTGTGGGAGAAGTGAGGGGCGACCAGAGGAATGCCCGGGAGTGCTATGCCCAGGCAGTCAAGAAAATGACCAAGGGGGTCAACGTCATCTCCCAAGAAATCACCAAGGGAGAAACCCGGGAGAAACGGGAGCCTGAAGCTGAGACGGTGGAGATTGAACTTCGCCCGGGTGATTCATCAAGGATGGTCAGAATTGGAGCAAACCTCCCAGAAGATCTCAATGAAGAGATTACGCGGGTGCTCCAAGAATACGCGGGCATATTCGCATGGAGCGTGGCGGATATGCCCGGGATAGACCGCTCAATCATCTGCCACCGGCTGGCAGTGAGGGATGGAAGTCGACCGGTACGCCAGAAGAAGAGATACCTGGCCAGTGACCGGCGAGACTTCGTCAAAAAGGAGGTGAAGGATCTCCTTAGTGTGGGTCACATTCGGGAAGTCAAATACCCGGAGTGGTTGGCCAACGTGGTTCTTGCTCCCAAGGGGGACACATGGAGGATGTGTGTAGACTACACGGACTTGAACAAAGCATGTCCGATGGATTCATATCCCCTTCCCAGTCCAGATCAAATGGTGGACGAAACCGCGGGGTGCGAACTCCTAAGTTTCATGGATGCTTTCAAAGGCTACCACCAGATTTACATGGCCAAAGAAGATGAAGAGAAGACGTCATTCCTCACACCCGAAGGAACCTATTGTTACCGGGTAATGGCGTTTGGCTTGAAAAATTCGGGGGCAACCTACCAGCGCATGGTGAACAAGCTCTTCAAGCTACTACTGGGAAAGACCATGGAGGCGTACGTCGACGACATGCTGATTAAAAGCCAGGTATCCCTCAACCACCCGGCTGATATGAGGGCCACGTTTGATATCATGGCTAGATACAACCTCCGGTTGAATCCTAGGAAATGCGTTTTCGCGGTTCGCACCGGGAAATTCTTGGGATTCATGGTAACCAAGAGAGGAATAGAGCCCAACCCAGAAAAAATACAGGCTATCACTGAAACGCAGGCCCCCACATCTGTGAGGGATGTCCAGAAGTTGACCGGTCGTCTAGCGGCACTCAGCCGGTTCCTTTCCCGGCCAGCTGAGAGGTCCCTGCCTTTCTTCAAAGTCTTGAAGAAGGCCAACACTTTTGCATGGGACGAAGAGTGCCAGAGGGCATTCGAGGAGCTGAAAGAGTACCTAGTGTCAGATATTGTATTGTCTAAACCCCAGCCGGGTGAAACTCTGTATCTGTACCTGCGAATTTCCCCAAATGCTGTAAGCTCCGTTTTAATAAGAGATGATGGGGCGCAAAAGCCCATTTATTATGTGAGCAAAGCACTAAACGGAGCAGAAAGTAGATACACGGTGATGGAAAAAACAGCATACGCGCTTTTCATCTCCGCAAAAAAGTTAACATCCTACTTCCAGGCTCACCCGGTAGAAGTCTTGACTGACCAACCGCTGGGTGCAGTGTTGCGAAATTCAACATCCTCCGGGAGGATGGTGAAATGGGCGATGATGTTGACTCAATTCAATATTGAGTACCGGCCTAGGTCAGCAATCAAAGGGCAAGCCCTTGCGGACTTCCTTGTAGAAATGACCGGTATAACTCCAGATGAACCGGTCAACAAACCCGCTGAGCAATGGTGGGAGATGGCGGTACACGGGGCATCTGGCCCTAGAGGATGTGGGGGTGGTATCGTATTTACCACCCCAGAAGGGTTCAAGATTTACCATGCAATCGTCTTCAACTTTAAGTTGACGAACAACGAAGCAGAGTATGAGGCTCTTGCTGGAGGGCTCAGACTTGCCCAAGCACTGAAGATCAACCGGGTCAGTATCAAATCTGATTCCAGTTTGATCGTTGGCCAAGTGACCGGTAACATGGAAACCAGAGAAGGGCGAATGGCGCAATACAAGGACCTGGTGCTTGCCTTGTTGAAAAGCTTCGAGGAATTCAAGATTGCCCAAATCCCCCGGGCAGAGAACGCGGATGCAGACCTTCTCTCCAAGTTGACGCAATATGCCCCCGAGCACGTTTCAAAACTTGCCCGGGTAGAAATTCTTGATCATGCCAGCATTGAAAAATTGGAAGTAGCCGCCATAACAGAAGCAGGCCAATCTGACCGGTCAAACTTGGTCGGGGCGGATGACCACTGGATGTATGATCTGATGGAGTATCTGATGCACGGGACCTTGCCGGAACAAGATGACCGGGCAAGAAAAGTAAAGCTCAGAGCACCCCGATTTCAAGTCCTTGATGGGAAGCTGTACAAAAGGGCATTTGGAGGACCACTCCTGAGATGTCTAACCAATCGGGAGGCTGAACGGGTCATAGCAGAAGTCCATGAAGGTGTATGCGCGGCGCATCATATGTCCCGCACTCTTTCTCAGCGCATCATCTTGTTGGGGTATTACTGGCCAACAATTGTCCAGGATTGCGAGAGGTACGTCCAGAAGTGCAGAACGTGCCAAGTGTTCTACAAGTACCCCGGTAGGCCGGCGACCTACTATCACCCCGTATCAAACGTCATCCCTTTCGCTTGGTTCGGGGTGGATATCATCGGGGCATTCCCAATCGCCCAAGGAAGGAAGAAATTTGTAATCGTGGCCATCGATTACTTCACCAAGTGGATCGAAGCCGAGGCGTTGGCCAATATTACCACGCAACAATGCAAGAAGTTCATTTGGAAGAACATCATCACCAGGGCTCCCATGAACCTAATTACCGACAACGGCCCGCAATTCCGAAATCCAAGATTCACCGAATACTTGGAGGGCTTCGGGATTAAACACAATCGTTCTTCGGTGGCATACCCCCAAGGAAATGGCCAGGTTGAAAATGCCAACCGAACAATTGTGGATGGTTTGAAGAAGCGGCTGGGGGAAGCAGGAAACAAATGGCTTGAAGAACTTCCGCACATCGTATGGGCATTCCGAGTAGCGCCCAGGAGGGCTCATGGGGAAACTCCGTTCTCCCTAACTTATGGGTGTGAAGCAAGGCTGCCCATCGAAGCTGAATTCCCAACGTTTCGGGAATCAAATTATCAACCCCAGCAAAATGAAGAGGACCATCTAGCCGAGCTCAACTTGGTCGAAGAGCGGAGAATGGCCGCGGAAGTTAAAATGAGCACATATCAACAAGTCGTGAAGAAGTACCACGACAACAAGGTTGGACCGCGATACTTTCAAGTCGGCGATGAAGTCCTGCGAAGAAGGGAGGCTAGTAGACCGGGAGACGGAGGAAAGCTGGCCAAAAACTGGGAAGGGCCTTACCGGGTTAGAGCTATCATTCGTCCGGGAACCTACCGGTTAGAAACTCTTGAAGGTGTACCGGTAGAAAGAACCTGGAATTCCCATCATCTTCGCAAGTTCTACAAATGATTGTAATGCTAGGCAAGACCTACTTTATTATCAATCAGACCAATGACATTCAATACTCTACATGGTAGCAGCAAAATTGATAGGTCGAACCTATCCTAGGAGGGCTTCCCGGGTGGATCGGATCCACTCGGATAAGCCAACTGAGACACAGGCCCGGACCTGGCACGCTGGTTACTACACCGGTCTTGCTCAGTATAATAGAAAAAATATAAAACCCGGAATAGGGGCCCGGAAGAGGGTATGCCTGCAAGAGGGCTGGACCTGGAAGAGGGTTCGAACCGTACTTACACGGGCCCATGAGGTTTGACTGGTGTCGGGGAATCAGCCGGCACCGTCAAATTGATTGGGGACTAAAAGATGCCCATTAAAAGAAATAGAAGGGGATCGTCCACCGTGGCGCATCCTATTTCCCCCTTCTTAAGGAAGACTTGAACGGGGGGGTAAGCTAAGGCCTTCCCGGGATGGTAGAAATCAAAGAGCCATTAAAAGACTTAATCACCCGGAAGAGGGGGCCCTGGAAGAAGGGTGCATTTGAACCTTGGAGAGGGTTCGAAACCATTCGAACATGGTTAATTCTCCAGTATTCTTACCGGTTAAGGATACTTCAAGAAATTACTAGGCTACAGGTGTTCCATCTACAACCTACCGGTCATAAAAAAAAGAAAAAAAAAGAAATACCCCGGTTGGGTATCGATACGGCGGAACTTCGAAAGTTCCACAAGGAAAAGCAGTTCACCGGTCAGACCGTGGAGAAGGATCTACCGGTCAAACTGCACTTTATCTCCAAAACAAAAACGAAGGCATCCAAAACTCAAAATCAAGTGTGACCGGTCAGATTTTTGGAAGTTCACCATCAGAGTTGAAGTTCAACAAGTCAAAGTTGGAGTCCAACCGGTCAATTTTACTCGAGTTGATTTTCAACCTAAGGACATCTGAAAACAGTAGTTGGAGTTACACCGGTTGGAGTCTATCAAGAGGCAAGGTATCTACCAAAAACATTATAGGAAGCCAAACGAAAGAAGCTACCTAGGAGCAAGATCAACCGGTATGAAAAATTGACATGCATTCAGATGAAATAAGGATGTTGAGTATTTTACAGCTACACCGGGCATACCCGGGAAAATTTGAAGTCATGAGTTTTACAAAAACAACCGGCCACGGCCGGCCAAGCTGCTCAACTGTATGCGGCCCAATTTCCCCCTTCTGCACAAGTAAAGAACCCGGTTAGACTATGACAAAGCGATTAACCCAAATTCAACCGGGATGGGGAAGCGACTTACCTCCTTTAGCCTCAGGCCCAGGTTGACGAAGGCCTCTTCAATGGTTTGGGGGGCCGGTTCAGAGTCTGACCTCGCCCTCTTCCTGGAAAAAGAGGGGTGAGTTGTGGCCACCTTCTTCTGACGGCGACCGGTCTTTTCTTTGCTCTTTGACCGGTCCATTTGGGGCTCCTCATCATCCAGGTCATGGACCTCCACATTCTCTGCATGACCGGTGAAAGTCTTGGCGGTACCGGTTTGAGAACCACCGGTCTCTCCCTCTGGCTTATACTCGGGCATGGCATACTCCTCGAACTCCATGTCTGCAAAGAACCAGCGAAAGATTCTAATACAGGATAAAATACCGGTGTATAAAAACTTTGAAGAAAGTTACAAGTACCTGGGTGGGAGTTGCCCTCAGCCTCCGCAGTGTTGCCCGGGGAGGGTCCCCCGCGCCCCGCTGCTTCATGGGCCCGGGAGGTACCCTCACCACCCGAATCGACCCTCCAGACCCAGCTGCCGTAATGAAAGATCCTCCCGGTGAAAGGGTCGCCTCGCATGAGAATCTCGAGGTTTGCCTCCAAGTCAGGCGAGGAGGCCGGTGCAGCAGATTCTTGGTTTAAGAGGTGGTCATTCCATTTCAGACCGGCAAGTGGAGTGAAAAAGGGGGGAAACTCAATAAAGACAAATTTTTCCTTCCACCCCCGGTTACTTTGGGGGACATCAAAAATAAACTTCCTACCGTTATGGCCTTTGAAGTACACAAAACCTTCGCAGCCGGTTCCACCCGGTAGGACCTCAAAACAAAAGAGAAAAAGGCGCAAGGAAGGCTCGATTTTGAGGTGGTGATAGATGTTTACAAAGGAATGAAGGTACCGGTGGGCGTTAGGAGTTATCTGGCCGGGTAAAATCCTAAACGCATGGCATACTTCGATTAGAAGGGGGCGAAGGGGAAAAACAATGCCCGCGTCGAGAGAGATCGTATGGAATCCTATCCTATCCTCCCAGTGAGGTTCAACAATGTTGGGCCAGTCGTGTTCATACAAAAGGGTATACCCATCCGGGAGCCTCCTACGGATTTTGTTTAAAGCAATTTTGGATACATGGGAAGGAATATCAAGGGCATAGAATGTGGGGAGCGGGAAGTAACCGGCAGCGCGAAGTCGCTCCTCCCACGCATCCCGGGTTTCGTTTTCAGGGTCGTATGGACCCGGTTCCTCGTCAACCGGCTCATCCCTCCCCGATAGGACCTGACCGGGCATCTGATTAACTGGTTGAGGATTGGGAATAGAAGAATTTGGAACTTGACCGGTACGGGGGCGAGAAGACCCGGTCAAAGATGAGGAGTCCTCAGAGGAGCTGTCCTCTGAGGACGAAACCCTATCGCTACCTAAGGGAGACATGGCCGGGAAAGAAAAGAGATGGAAGAAAGGCTTACTTGACTCGGAGGGCTGGAAGGCGATAGAGATACTTGACCGGTGAAAGCTCTAGAGACAAATGGCGGAAGAGTGAGAAATGAAGAGGGGTGGAGCTCTTTATATAGGGAGGAGAGATCCGAAGGAAGCGACGTGGCCGTACAAGGGGGCGCCGCGTCAGGCGGCGCAATGATGGCGCGTGGGGAAGGCGAACGGTCAGGCTGACAACGGATCAGTGCGGCAGTTAAGACGCGACACGTGTTCAAGTTCGAATTTTGAAATTCAAAATTTGAAATTTTGAGCGGGAAAAGCCAAAATTCGAATTTAAAAGTTCTGTGTCAGATTTTTTACTTCCCGCTTATGACAAAATTGCATAACCGAGAAGTGGAGGGCTTATTGATGGGTGTATTTCACCCATGACCGGTCAAGGGCTCGATTCAGAATGTTGACCGGTCAAAACCGAATTTGAGAGGAAATGATGAATCGTCGAAATATTGACCAAGAACTTTGACCGGTACACTTCGGATAGTGTACCGGTCAAACTCGCCCATGGTCTAAATTCGTCATTCGAAGTTGGCCAAACCTTCAGGAATCAACCGGTGCAACTTTCAGAGATTGGGGAGTGTCGGCAGATGGAATCCAAGAGGACTTGGACTGTAGTGGTTGGAATTGCAGAGATGCCGAAGGAACATTTCCAAGCCAGAACATGACAAAGACGCAGCCTCCTACGCAAGATGACAAGGCAGAGCCAGTCAGGTGACCCCACGCCAGCAGCATGCCCCCACGTGGCCCACCCTAACTTAGTATATATACCACTTGTAACCCTCGAAGAAGGGGGGCCGAATTCATTCTCTCCAAACTCCCTTGTAAAAGTGACCGTGCATTCTCTGTTTTAATACAATTCGGGCTACAGGTGTTCCACCTAAAGTCCTACCGGTCATTCTGAGTGTTTTTACTTTCTTTACTTTTACAAAATCAAGCCAACTATTCTAGACCCGGTCTAGTATAGTTTGACCGGTCAAGTAATTTACACCATCACAATATAATAATCTGAATTAATCTCATAGAGATAAATCTCATATGTTGCCTATTATGTTACCTTGATTGGAAACCTGAGTACATACCTAAATTAAAAATAAATGACTAATGTGTTTATGATGTAAATTTTGAAATGATAAACCATGAGAATAAATAATATAAATTAAATGAAAGAACCCTTTTGAATGAAAGTCAATTAAATTAATTTGGATTCTATCAGAGTCAAACACTCCAAAAATATTTTGTCAAAAAAAAGTATTACAAATAAATATAAAAATTATATCGTTGTATAGAGTTTAACAGTACGATTGCAACGGATTTCAATTCGGAGAAAGTTGGAAATTCCTACGCAAACCCTACTTCGCAACATATTTCTTCTTCCTCCTCTTCCTTCATATAAAAGAAGAACCCAATCTTCTCAATTCTCCACCAAACTGAATAAAATTAGTGTCATAATGTTCCTGAGAGTATAATGAGAGTATTTTGCAATAGTTAGTTGCCGCCGAGGTCGCAAAGCTGGTCGTGGTGTTCGCCAGAAGTTTTGCTGGAAAATTTATAAAACCTCCGATAAGCTTTGAGGTAAGCACGTAGATATATCTAGTGACTAGAATGTTCGCATAAATCGTTTCTACGTTCATAAACGGTCGTTTGGTTGAGTTTTATGTTTGACATGCTTGAAAAACTAAGAATCATAAACCTTACAATAATTGTTAAAACTTTGAATTAATGATACCAAAATAATCTATGAACCTTTTAGAACATTTCTATATAATTTAATTAAAGTTCAATGACTAAAAATGGTATTTTCAAAATTGGGCCCGAAGGTTGAAAAAGATGAACAATGATTGAAAACCAACAGGGTGGATCGATCCACCCCACTGTATCGATCACCTGGGGACATTTTCTCTAGCCTGGATAGATCTAGAGCACTAGATTGATCTCCCGAAATTTTGCTCCGATAATATTTCTGAAAATACTATTTTTGAGCTCTAAAATCATATTTTTGTTACCAATCAATTATGATTAATATATAAATGATTTCTTGGAATAAAAATGATGTTTTGAGAACTAGGACCTTCCGTGATGCATGACGGTAAGCTAGAGTGTTAACACTCGTAGCCAGACCTCTATTTGCTATGGGATGTTATGTTAATTGATGATTATGATAATGCAAACTAATATACTCAATTCAACCCCAAATCAATATTGCAAATCTCAAATCCAAGTTCAATTCCAACAAGCCAATCACGCAATCTAATAATCATAATTGAATGAAAACATACGAACGAATCATAATTCAATTCTAAGAAATAACAATTGAATTAGAATTGAAATTTCATAAAATTAATTTGAATGAAATCAAATTTTAAGATGACATGGCATGGTATCTAACTTACAGGCCGCTGGTTTTGTTCATAATATTTAGAGCAATGCCAGGTTCAGAAACTGAATAGTCACACACTTCAACTACTTGTGACTTAAATTTCTATTTCAAAATTATTTGAGACTAATTAATATTTTTTGTTAAAACTCATAAATAATCCATATCTAAAGTTTGTGACCACGTGGGTGTGAAGAGTGAATCTAGCACTTCTCTAATAATTTTTTATGGGATTTTTTTATGGGGTTGTGTTCGCTCAACCCGCAAACACTGCCCGTTTAAAACCCCAGAGGATTATTCGATCATATGCCCCTTCTCCAAACCATATGCCCCTTCTCATCTCGCCTTAACAAATGTGGATGATGATGATGATGTCCCCCTTCAACCGATTAATCCAGCCTACGGTATCTCCATCTTTCTCTATATCTCTCCTAACATTTTTCATGTAAAGAGGATTGACTCCAATATTTGGCTCTAATTTCAAAGCTTCCATGCTTGTTCATTCGCTGTGCAATTGGATATTGGAAAAAATAAAGCTTTGTTCAATCGCTGATATGCAGAATTTTTACTCCAAAATTTGGTTCCAATTTCAAAGATTTTATATTTGTTCAATCACTGATAGGCAGATGTTGTTGTCCAAAATTTGGATCCAATTCACGATTTATGAGTAATAGGATTATCTGACTTTAATGCTCTATTTTGGTTTGCATATAAGAACTACAGTTTCTTTAGTTTGTATATTTGATTGTATTGATAGGTCAATTTCGGGCAGTTGTCTAGAACAGTTAAAAGCAATGCTGTTGAAAAACAATACATTGGGACAACATTATATACTCCCAAGCAAAGTATTCTGATAGTTGGTGACGGAGATTTCGGATTTTCTCATAGTGTGGCAAGAAATATTGTTGATGCCAAAGGAATCACAGCAACGTCCTACAATACTTTAGGTTATTATTCTATTTTTTTATACCAATGTTTATTTCTTTTTATTTTGCATACTAACACAAGTTAAACTGAATTAACAGCTGAACTGGAAACCATGTATAAACGCGCAAGAAACAATTTGTGTGGTCTTTTACAAAGGGGTGCCAGGATAGTTCTTTCTGTAAATGCAAGAGTAATGGCAACCGACAATAGAGTTAACCAGCAACTCTATGATGTCGTGATCTTCAATCAGCCGTACGCCGTAGAGCCGTTCCCCTTTTCACAGTACAATCCGCGTGTAATAATGTAAATTCTTATAAAAACTTTTCCGTTATAAATCAAATGCTTATTATCTTTTGATATATGTTATGGAATGAATTTTTTATTTATTGCAGGGCTAATAAGAAATTGATAAGTAGTTTTTTGGGAAATGCAAGGTGTTTGTTGAAAGAAGAAGGAGAAATTCATTTGACGAATAAAGTCGGACATCCATATGACAAGCTATGCATACCAGATATAGCTCTTGACAATGGACTAGTTGTTAGCAGAGTTGTGCCATTTCCTTTCCAGGACTACCCTCTATACGAAAACAAACGGGGCTTTGGTGTTCATGCAGATTGGAGCTACAATTTGTTTCCTTCCGACACATTTATAATGATGAAAAACACAAACCCAAACAATCCTGGTCATAATCCTATAAGAGAGAGTGGTAAGTTATATTTCATCATAACAAAGAATATTTCCATAGCTCAGTTTAGTTACGGTCAGTTCTATTATCTTTCGTTGCAGTAGTTGAAGGCTTTATGCACGGGATTAACTTAGCAGTATTTAGGCTCTTGTGTAAATAAGGGGAATACACGCTGTCTTTGAATCATTGATTTCTCCTTGGGTCAGTATGTCTGGGCTTTCATTCGGGTAATATACAACAGCATACAGATTGGGTATGTTCATTAGTCTGTTGGTTCTTATAACAGTTAGAAAGCATAGAGGTATCATGCTATCATGTGGTGAAATTGGGAGTTATTATATACTGAAATTGGGAGGCTGATTGTTGATGTTATAGGTTCCATCAGATGGGTTGGAGAGTACTATGTTCTTATAGATCTCCTTGTTTTGTGATGGCTTGGGCCTTAGTGTTGTGTAGTCAGTGGTGTTCTTTACGGAGAGTTAGTAGGATTTACATCACTTTGATTTGAGATGGGACGGGGCTTTGGCAAGATTACTATAAGGTTATATTATGGACAGTAAGTAGCGCAAACCAGTTACAAAAATTTGTGGGATTGTGTAGAGAAAGGTACAGACGAGGAGTGGAAATCGTGGATATAACATGGATTGAGGAAGTTTGGCTTTCTGCAATTTTGCTCTATGACATAAACTTATGAAGTGGCTGGATTGGGGTCAGGATGCCTCCAAAAAAACAAAAGATTGCTCACAACAAATGGGTTCCTCCGAAATTGAATTGCCCAAGTTGACTTGGCATGCATTTGTAGGCAAGTTAAAAATGCAATTGACTTTCCTAGACTACCTCTATCCAACCCCTCTCACTCCCTTGCCGCTAGAGATTGTCTCATCCCATCGCCCAAGTTGATTTTGTGTCCAAGAACGGGACTATGGCCTCTACTGGTCCCAAAATGGTCTCCAAAATGAACTCGGTCGCTGGAGTTTTGTGTTGGTCTACTGATGGCACAAAAACTGGCATGACCAGATTGTAGATCGAGGAGCACGAAGCAGATGGTCTTAGTGGGTGTGTTCTTTGCAATCAAATTCATTCAAGTGTGAGTAGTTCCCCATGGCAAAAACCTAGAAATGTAGGGAATTCGGGTAGGCTTTAAGATGCCTCTTTGCTCTAGGGTTTGGGGGAAGCACATGAAGGAAGAGATACGGAAACAGATTGAAATTGAGACGGAGATATGATGGAGGCAAAGAAACAGAGTTAGAGCTCGAGTAGAGTGAAGGGGGCATTAATGACATTTCCGCTTTTAAAATTTACCAAATAGAGAAATGAGAAATTTGTTTTCAGCAAGATGAAAAACGAAAGTAGGAAATTCAAATCTTGATGGAAGCAATACTTAGGCCCCGTTTGGTACACGGAATTCAAACTATGGAATTGGAATTGAGGACTTTAATTCCAATTCAAGTGTTTGGTAGCACAAAAATTATGTGGATTTGAAATTGACAGTGCAAAAAATTAATTGAAATTGGTGAATTCAATTCTATGGAATTGAATCCCATGGAATTTCACTTCCAATTCAATTCCAATTCCATCAATTCCGTATACCAAACGGACCCTTAATAGTTGAAGAAAATTAAGTGGAGTATTAACAGATGAAATACTCTTCTAGGCAAGCTCTAGTGACCCTTACATTTGGCACATAGTTTGCTTCAAATTCTTCAATATCAAGCTCTAGTGACCCTTACATTTGGCACATAGTTTGCTTCAAATTCTTCAATATCAAGCTGAGTGGGACCTAAAAAGATGTACGGAGTAGAAAACCATTTACATGGACTGGAAATATATTCCTATTTTCCTATTGATTGGGTGGGGGGGGGTTTGTCAACAGCATCCGGAGACTTCAAACTCTAAATTTCAAGTCAACGTTTCATCTAATATTACAACAATAAGATTGCTAACAGTGAATTTAAGAGGTCAAAATATGAATGTAATCATATAGCTATATAGGGAGTAATACGGAGTATATCTCATTCAATATTACAACTGCGTCCACTTTGAATACCCAGTATATACACTTGCACACATTTTAATATACATACCTTGCATATTCTTTTTAATGCCTATTATATATAGTATATACATATCAAACATTCATAACATTTGTACACATTCACAGATTAATCAAGATATTTGTATTCACCTATTTTGATATGATTTATGCTATTGGGAAACTGTGAATCCATAGAAAGAGAGCTCCTGACCAAGAAACCATAATCTATAACCTTAAGTTTCAAACATGAAAATCTAAGATTATAGCATCATTTGAAACCTATATTTGTTTGAAAAAAATCATTTGTATCCAGGCCACTTATAGATTTTTTTTTGCAATAGAACAGATATCTTGGCAACAATTTGTGTTGTGTTCTTCCTTGTTGATGGTATCCTCTTCAGAAGAGAAAAGAAGAAAGCAACCAAACCTCTTATTACTAATCTTTATTAAATAAAAAGGTCCAAGGCACTAAAAAAATCTCACATTTCACGAATAAAGTCATTTTGTTTCAGCACATGTTTCTCTTTACCTTTAAGTTCACTCCCACTATTCGTGCTTTATAAGTTGTGGTTATCTCAATAGAATATTTTTCTTTTGCCTACTGAAACAATCATACGATGTGTTTGGACTGGTGAATCGGATTTTGATTACTTGAGTGACTAATCAGATTAGGAGTACATCGGTAGCTGTGAATATGGCTTGCATCGAGCATACATAAAACCTAGAACTTAGATAGTAGCTTATAAATCAAATACTATGTATAAAACTAACACATAATCAAACAGCAGCAATGTTCAAAATTAGACTCAATGGGCCAGATGGTTGTTCAATTTTAGCATGATCAATGTATTTCTTGTTGTATATACCTTTCGTTGTTAGGATTTAAATCTAATGCTGCTTTCTGGATGTTTACTAAGGATGATTACCTAATTTGATTTTGTTTCTTACTGATGACTGCAGTTGTTCTTAGTCTTACCTCCTATCCTCCTCGCACGCTTAAAGAGGTAATTCTATAATTAAATCAATAACACAGTTGATAGCTTCCAGATTCTAAAGTTGTGACTGATGCCAATATTTATTAGTGTTCTAAGAGGTTTAAAGCAGAATTAGCCCCGTTCAGTTTAACTTTTAGTGTTTAGTTACCAAAGAGGGGTTGAGTTAGTGCTTAATCGGTGCTAAATAACTAGTTCTCTAGCTCCCTTGGTTCCTTTACTCATAGAGGTTTAAGACGGTTAATTTCAGCTCTAGCAAGTTCAGTAATTTCAAATGTGGACTCCTAATTTAGTTACAAGCTAACACTCGGACCATGCCGCCTTGGGCCATCCAAGGTGCAGGTGCGCAACCAGACAGGAAGGTGTATGGGTCATAGATAATTAATTTCTTACATTAGTCATTTAAAAAATTTCTTGATGCCCATGTTATGTTGTCGCAAGAGAGGAAAGTGTATGAGTCATCTGTCTTCGGGAGTAATTAATTATTATGATTATGTAGTAGAGATGAAAACATTGAGTGCTTTTGCGGGTTGGGTGGCCTGTAAACAAACGTTTGAAGAGAAAGTGTAATTTATTATTATATGCTGGTTAAAATAGTTCAAGTTAAAATTAATAGGTTGTGCTAATTTGCAATTATTCTATAATTTACCAGGAAGAAGCTGAAGTTGAGGATGAATCTAATGTGAGTCTACTTTGAACATTTTCCTTATATTTAGAGATATGATGTCGCCGCCATCATATTCATGCCAATATATCGAGTATGGACGGGTATTGGATATTAAATACTTAATGACGCTTCTAATTGTTATATAATTTCAATAAACTGAAGTTTGTTCTGAATTCAACATACATCTATTACAAATTATTCTGAAATATACACCAAATTATCTAAAATAAAATTATGAGTTCAGCCACTATCAACTAAAATTAAGACCTCTGTTGCATTTATAGTTCCATATAGCCTCATTGTGGTGGGTGTGCGACTGGCCCAAGATTGCGTGTAGACTACTTTCAGCTAGATCTTCCTGGAAAAAAGCCTCTACTTCTCCCACAACTTGTACAGAATCATCCTTTTCCTCCGCATCTAGTAATTTGAAAGTCCCTATTTTACATCGGTGTCCAGGACCATACTTGTCACCACATCAAAAACATTCACCCCTTAGGAAGTGTGCCAGTAACCCTGTATCAGAAATGAGTTAAGGGGGATCTTGTTGAAGAAGAGGAGGAGGATTATTGGGTGGATTTAATTGTGAGAGGGTTTTGAAACTACCAACAGAAGCAGTTCATCTTCCAGAACGAGAGCATCTAATCTTTGATTCAAATCAAGGGCTAGGCTCATCGCATTGTATACCACCCTAGACTTATGAATCCTAACATCTGCCTTTAACTTGTCCTTGAGTCCATTCCACCCTAGCAGGCAGTTATCCGCTAATTGGAAACACGGGCAGATTGTTTGGCATATTCTTCTGTATTCTTGGACGATCCGATCTGCTTGATACTGCACAAGTACTTGTCTGGATTTTGATATTCAGCAGGACAAAAATTCCTTTGTAATGACTGAACCAGATCTTCCAAGTAGATGATAGTAGATCCACAGTTAGCCATGAATACAGGTCTAATGTGTCTCATATCATGCCAATTACATGACAGTGACATCCACCTTTTCATCTTCAGGTATAATGTAGTAATTAGTAACAGAAGTACTTTTCCGCCTTCAAAATCCAGCCTCTAGGGTCTCCATCACTAAACACATGGAAACTTATCTTGTTATAAGGGCGATAAGGACGATTCGATTTGTTTCCTCACGAGTACACACCTTCATCGGCAGGATCTTTAAGACCACGTTTAGAACCACCGTTACTAGAAGATATAGCATGAGACTTGGGGGCAGCAACGTCTTCTTTCAGGGATTCCATGACTGCTAATCTCTCAACGATGGCTGCGGCTAGCTGGACGGAAATGGGGTCAGGTTCAATTGGTTACTACAGGTTGTTGGTGCCATTCGATTTCCCGGCAACGGGACCAAATGAGGCTCAAGTCAGATTGATAGAATTCAAAATGAAAAAGAGTACATCAAGTCTCAATTCGAGAAGGGATAGTCTCGAGATTTCCAAAGGAAAATACAATGAAAGTAGCCACACAAAGAAAATAACATGACCCAAGTTAAAAAATCCCACTCCCAAAGGAGTTGGGCAACTTCTAGGTAACCACCCACTCAGCTACTTAGTATGTTCTTTGGAATGCTTATTTACATTTTGAGCTGATCCACTTCTAGAGACCCACCCTGTGCCATCTGCTTTTTCCTTCTGGAATGCACCAATCTGATTGGAGGCTTATCTGCATTTGTACTTATTGTGTATTTGTGGCTCTAAGGTTACCTCAAAAGTTTATGGATCTATCTTTTTCTTATTTCCTACAAATTTATAAATCTGAACTTAGAATTATGGATTGTACATGCAGAGCGTTGGGCCCTTTTCAAACAGCAAAAAGCAGAAGCTGCTACGAAACGATAAGAAGATTATGGTATGTTCTAAATCTTGATTTCTTTTCATTTGGGTTTTTAAGAGATGGCAAAATAGAAGGTTGGTTGGTTTGGTAATGGGTCAACTTGCATAAAAATAGGGTACTCTTTTGGGTGGATTGAAATCGGGTTGGGTTGATAAAAGCCTGCTGTCGATAACTAGTCTCGTAGATGCTTTAGATTTTTTTTGTAGGCAAACACTCCCAAGAGTAAGAAGAAAAACAAGAGCAGAGCAGATTTAGAATGAATTTTCTGGTTTAATCCCGCCGTTCATAACATAATAACTAATAAGCATGTCTGTTTATAGACTTACAGAAATGAGAGAAGTAGAAAGCCTACTAACCCAACTACTTAGGAGCTAAAGAATAAAATAAAATCCAGAAAACAATTTCTGAATGACTAATACTTTTAACAAAAGGTATATTGGTGCATACTTGTATGCAGTATATATCCTAGGGCAAATTGTGGCTCAAGCTATATGTTTCTAGCTCTGTGTGTATCTGTATGTGTATTTGTGGAGCTAAGGTTACCTCAGTAGTTTATGGATCTTCTACTTTATTCTTATTTCCTACATATTTAAAAATATAAACTAAACGAACCTAAAATTATTGATAGTACATGCAGAGCATGGGGCCCTTTTCAAACAGCAAAAAAGCAGAAGCTGCTAAAGATGCTGGGAAACAAGAAGACAATTCTGGTATGTTTTATATCTTAATTTTTTTCCTTTTGGATTTTTTTAGATATGGCAAAATGGATTTTGGTTGGTTTGGTAATGGGTCAACTTGCATCAAAATGGGGTACTCATTTGGTGAGTAGAAATCAGGTAGTGTTGTTGATGGCTGCCTGGCTGGTATCATAAATGCTTTATATTTTTGTTGTATGCAAATGCTCCCAAGACTAAGAAGAAGATCAAAACCAAATTGAGAATGAATTTTATGGTTTAATTTTCCCCCTTCCAAACATAATAAGCATGTCTGCTTATAGGCTTACAGAAATGAGAGAAGTAGAAAGCCTACTAACCCAATTACATAGGAACCATAGTTGTTAAGGCGACTAGGCGAATCTAGGCGCTCGAGTACCTTCTAATCGCCTAAGCGATTAGGCGTCCGCCTAGGCGTCCTCTAGGCGAGTGGCTACCATAACTTTAATATTTTAGAGTATTAATATAAAAGCATATAATATGAAATAAGTAATTAAAGAGAACATATATATCCTGAAATATATGAATGAATGTTGTTTTTCAAAAAAAATTTAAAAATATATTCAGAAAAATAAGTAAATATTTTTTACAAGTTAGTGATCTTTTTAAACTTTTTAAATGTGAAATAAAATTTGGGCCCAATGCTCTTTTAATAAAGAACTATATTAATAAGTGTAAAGGCCCACTTATCTTTTAATAAACTTAGCCCAAATTAGTTAACCTAAAATAACTAATAGAGAGTCAGAGAGTAGGAGGGTTTAGAGGAGCCGCTGGACTGAACTGGAGTCGCTGGATATCTCGGCAGTCGCGAGAATCAGCGTCGGCAAGTAAGGTAAGCTCGATCTTCCCCAGTCTCTCTCTCTCTCTCTCTCTCTCTCTCTCTTTCGTGATCTTCTCCTCCTCCTCCTTCCTCTCTCAGCTTCTTCCAGTCATCTTCTTCTGCGGTGTTTGCGCAAAAAAAGCTAGGCGAGTAGTTTGGCGTCCATATGACCTCGCCCAGACGCCTAGGCGACGCCTTGATAACTATGATAGGAACTAAGCAATAAAATAAAATCCATTCAGAATGTTCTGAATAACCAATATTTTTAACAAAAGGTATTTTGGTGCACACTTGTATGCAGTATTAATGCTAGAGAAATTTTGTGGCTCAGGCTATATGTTAGTAGCTCCTTGTATATCTGTAGTCTGTAGACTGTACTTGTGTATTTGTGGTGCTAAGGTTACCTCAATAGTTTATGGATCTTCTACTTTATTCTTATTTCCTGCATATTTAGGAATCTGAACTTAAAATTATTGATTGTACAATGCAGAGTGTTGGGCTCTTTTCAAACAGGAAAAAGCAGAAGCTGCTAAAGACGCTAGGAAACGAGAAGACAATTCTAGTATGTTTTAAATCTTGATTTTTTCTGTTTGGTTTTGTAGAGATGGCAAAATGGATGGTTGGTTGGTTTGGTAATGGGTCAACTTGCATCAAAATAGGGTATTCTATTCGGTGAGTAGAAATCGGGTTGGGTTGTTGATAAAGGTGGGTTATTGATGGCTAGTCTTGTAAATGCTTTAGATTTTTGTTGTAGGCAAACACTCCCAAGAATACGAAGAGATACGAGACCAAATTGAGGATAAATTTTCTGGTTTAATTCCCCACTTCAAAACATGATAAGCATGCATATAAATGAGAAGTAAACAAGGAAAGGAGAAAGCGTACTAACCCAACTACTTAGGAAATAACCAATAAAATAGAATCCAATAAGAATGTTCAAAATAACTAATACTTTTAACAAAAGGTATATTGTTACAATGTTTATACTTCTTGAATATCAAGATTTAGATTTTACTGTTACCCATACTATGATGATTATGGAGCTCTTTCATACACATGCTTAATGCTTTTGTGTTTGCAGCCAAGGACCAAAAGACAGCAGAGTCAAGTAAATGAGACCTGCATATTGTGGGAGATGGATCTGTGTGAAGCAACTTTACATAAGCATTCATGGGTTCAGTGGTTTGTTGGTAACTTTGGTTGCTTGCACTTGTTGTTTGACTTGTTTCTCAAATCAGATTTCATTGTTTGGTCTGTTGTGAACTTTGGTTGCATACACTTGTTTGAGTTGTTGCACAAATTGGACTTCATTATGTTGGAATTCACTTTTGGTTTTGAGACTTGGTCAATATTTTCACCCTTCTAGGGTTCTCCATTTGAGTTGTTGAATGTCTGCCATTTGATTGCACGCCCATTTTCATCAGTTGGTATAAAAGTCTAGGTTGTTTCAAATGCATGATTGTCACGGCCACATGTGGAGTCAAGTCCGTAAAGAAGAGACTAGTGGACTAGTCGGCCTACTAGAATAGTCGACAAATCATAATAAGAAATGAAATATTTAAAACTAAATAAATCACCATTGACCAAAGATAACTATTTATATATTTATAATATAAAATATCATTACCATAACAAAATTACATGTAAAGGTAGCACATAAACAAACATAACAAGGTGTACGTAAGAAATAAATATCCTTCATAAGAAACCAAAGTAGAAAGACTGAAAATTATAAATAAACAAAAAAATTGTAACTTTATTTAAAACAAATAACTACAACGTTTCCTAAAATCTGAAAGCCAAAAAAATTCAAATCATCAGAAAGAGAAATTAACTTTGTATCAAACAGCTACTTAGTACGAGCATTAAAAGAGGTAAAGTAAAAAAATACTCCACTGTTAAAGAATTAAAGATTAAACCAATGCTACGAAGATGGCAGAATCATCCGGAAGAGAAGGGCAAGCGACTCCCTAAGTTGCGATGTGCTGCAACAGTATAATAAGGTAGAGTTACAAACACCGACTAGTCAGTGATCAGGCACCACCTAGGCATTGATTTGCACGACCTGCTTAGTCCACTTCAAGTGCTAGGTGAGAATGAAGTCACACGGTCCAAAATGCCCGGACGACTAGTCGGGGACTAGGCGATGACAACAACAATGTTCAAATGGTTGGACAAGGACGCAGACTTCTCACAAAAACGCCGTCCAAGGCACTACTGGGGCTGGCCTCAATCCACAGAATCTTGAAATTGAACATGTATACAACAACAATGTACTTGAAGTTAAACTAATGCAGGAGGCAGGTTCAAAGGCTATCAAGTATATGGTCATTGTGTTCGGGAATGAATTAGGATCGGATGAATTAGGATGAAACCTGGGAATAAGAGTCAAGATTCTCGTATTTGATGTATGATTTCTTGGTCTGGTTACATATGGTTGAGCATATAGTCGAACCGAATACGTCAAAACCCATTAAACTCAGTAAGACGATGTCCTCATGGTGAACACGTCAACCTCAAATTGGGACAAAATGAACAAACTATTGTGTGGGAGATTCCTACCCATTATTCACATACAAGACGCCTTTCCTGACTACCATATTGCAACACGACGCACCAACTCGGTTGAAACATTCATTGATCATTTTGATAGAATCTGAAAATAGTGGTTCGGTTCCTAGAATCCATCTAATCATATACTGCTATGTAGTCGGAATCATCCAAAGGGGTACGAGCATCACTACAAGGCCTAAGATATTAACAGAGATTTTGAACACAAGCTGATCATGGTTGGTGCTGACAACTCGTTAGCATCCCCATAGTTTTTGGTTTTTATTTTGATTTTGTAAGTTGGTTTTCAACTTAATTTGAATTTCAAGTCGTGTTCGACCACAGAAGTCTGGACTTGGATTTTATGGTTGGACTATGTGCTGGAATTCAATTTTGGTTTTTTGAGACTTAGTCAACATTTTCACCCTTCTGGGGTTTTCCATCCGAGTTCTTAATTGTTTACCATTTAATTGCACTTCTGACTGTGATAAATGCTACCAAGTGATCATCCATCGTGTGTTTGGAGTGTAGGGATGGGGGTGGTTAAAAGACTAAATGAGTTGCTGGATGTGGTCATATTGTTTGAGGCCGTGGTTAAGGTTTTGGGATTACCTTTATTGTGGTTTTGGCATGACTAGTTTTTTAAACCTATATAGGGGTGCTGACTATGGTAAGGCTGCCTGACTAGGTTCGTGTATGTTCCCCTTAAAACTAACCATGAATTGGGCACATTGAAAAACAAACCTGGCAAGAAAGGCATGTACCCGAACGCAATCAAGTGATGAAAAAACTCGACAGGTGTGAACTTTATCCCTTCAGCCATTATTTCCCACTACGTTTCAGAAAAAATGGACATGATGTAAACATGAAATGCTTACAATTTACTAAATAGTAAATACCACAAAAAGCTAACATACCCAAGAACACATGTGTCATCAAAATCCACAAAAAAAACTTATTTGACCACTGGCAGTGATGTAGTTGAGGTTCGTGATCATTCCAAAACACATAGATGTCAACAACATCGAAGCCTCCATCTTTGGTTTCCTCAATGAGATCTTTCCAAATCTGCATCATGATTCCAGTTAAGTACATACATAGTAGCTTTTTTTTACCAAAAATAGTAATTTCAAAGATATTTTTTAAAAAGTAACAAAGAGATGATTTTTTGAGGAAAATGTGAAGCAGACCAACAGAGACCATAAAAAGGAATTTCAATAAACTTAAGGTTCGACCTTGATACATATACAAAATCAAGACACAAACCAACATCAAACTTCAGCAAAGACCAGATCTTTTGCAGAATATGATTCAACAACAGGAACAAAGACCGAGCTTTATAATTAAACCCAAGATTTAGAGTGAAACAAAAAAAAAACATAGCTCTAAAACTAGATCCAAATTTTGACGTAAAAGTTAACAGACCTTAGCTCTTGCCTTAACAATTAACCAACATGAACAAAAACCAAATCTTGAGAAATTCAAGCCAAGTTTCAAAGTAAAAGCTAACAATTACCCTATAAGCATAGACGATAGCTTTAAAATGAAACCCAAATTCTAACAAAGATTGGAGTTTCAAAAGATCAGTGCCTTAACGATTCGACCTAGCCTACAATTTTGAAGTAAAAACAAACAAATACACTTTTAGATGTTGGCAACTTAAAGATAAAACAACATGAGATAGAAGAGCTTTAAAATGAAACCAATATTTTGAAGTAACAAAGAGATGATTTTTTGAGGAAAATGTGAAGCAGACCAACAGAGACCATAAAAAGGAATTTCAATAAACTTAAGGTTCGACCTTGATACATATACAAAATCAAGACACAAACCAACATCAAACTTCAGCAAAGACCAGATCTTTTGCAGAATATGATTCAACAACAGGAACAAACAAC